GCGGCGCTGGCGGCGCTCGCGCCTCAACGGGTTGGCGGCGCAGCGCGCACGCGCGGCGCGGGACTCGCTGTCGCTGAGCAGCGGCTCGGGCTGCGGCTCGGCGTCGGCCTCGGACGACGACGCGGACGACGCGGACGGGGCGCTGGCGGCCGAGAGCACGCCTTTCCTCGGCCTGCGAGCGGCGCACGACGCGCTGCGCTCGGACTCGCCGCCGCTCTGCCCGGCGGCCGACAGCAGGACTTACTACTCGCTGGACAGCCACAGCACGCGCGCCAGCAGCAGACACAGCCGTGGGCCGCCCACGAGGGCCAAGCAGGACTCGGGGCCCCTCTAGGACCTCTCCCCGCCTCGCCCGCCCCACGTCTCCAAGGAGAGCGGAGACCACCGACTGGAGAGGGAAAAGGAGCGAACAAAGAAATAAAAATATTTTTATTTTCTATAAAAGGAAAAAAGTATAACAAAATGTTTTATTTTCATTTTAGCAAAAATTGTCTTATAATACTAGCTAACGGCAAAGACGTTTTTATAGGGAAACTATTTATATGTAACATCCTGATTTACAGCTTCGGAAAAAAAAAAAAGAAACAACAAAAAAAAAGAGAGATGGGCCAATTTTTTGACTCTTTAATAGAAACCTATATTGTGGTGCCTTTTGCTGTACGCTAATCTGGGGCTCCTGGAGAGTCGTCTGGGGTGCAATGTGGGGATGGGCGTTTGTAGGATCCCAAACTGGTGGGGGTGAGAATAGACAGGGAAAGAAGAGACTGTGAGGTTCTAATGGCTCTGAGGCTAGTGTGCAGTGAGGAGGAAAATGAAGACAAGGTGGAGTTTTCTCTTCCCCAGTCCAGATCTGGAGTCCTGGGCAGAGAGGACAGGGATCCTAGGCTTACAGTTGGAATTTAGGTCCCTTACTTCGAGGGGGAGACACGGGTCCCCTGCTACAGCAACTAGAATGGGGAGGGGGCCTCCCCACCCCTCACAGCTGCTAAGGGAGAGAGAGGACGGAGAAGCCTGTCTCCCCACCAGCCCCCGGCCTAGGGAGGGGGCAGCTCTGCCAGGGGCCCAACCTTTACGGCTCCTCCTCCCCTGCGGCCTCCAGGACGCCCTCTGTCCTCTGCAGCACCTTCGTTTACAGATCGTCTTTTCTATTTTATGCCTGCATGTCCTTTGCATTTCAGATTCTTTAGATTGAATGCATGGTCACGCTGGGACCCAGAAGAGCCACTCCGACAGTGTATCCGTTCCCCTTCTAGCAATAAAGTCCACATCCTTCTCACAGCCCAGCCCCAGCCCACTCAAGACTTCCATCTTCCAGCCCTGCCTTCCCCAGCCCTCACAACTGGATCCAATGCTAATTTGTCAAAAAGGCAATTGTCTAAAACAACAAACAAACAAACAAACAAACAAAAATCCCAAACAGAAACAAATGGGAACCCTGACATGTCCGAACACCTGACTGTTGACACTTGAACATTTTTATTTTATAAATAAACTCAGAAATAACTCCTGTTTGACTGTGTGTGCCTAGCCCCAGGTGAGGAGGGAAGATAGAATGAGGACCTGGGATGAGGCACATGGGTACTAGAATAGTTTGGAGAGGGCCAGGGCAGTCCCCGAGCGGAAGTGACCCTCTCCCCAGTCCCTCTGGCCTCAGCTCCAAGGACCTGCTCCAAGTCTCTCTTCCAAATCATTTATAAGGTGTCCCCCCTGGGTGCTGGGGAGCCCAGCCAAGAGACTGACGCAAATTTGTTGTGCTTTAAACTCAGCCTCAGAACTCTGGCCCAGTTCCTGCCCTGCAGCTAGGAAGCCGGACTGAGGCAACAGTTTCTGCCCAGGTGGGTGAAGAGGGAAGGGTTGAGGGGTTGGCACTAGGGCAGCGGATGCAAAAATGATCCTTGGGGCTTCAGCCACGTCCCGGGCAGAGTCTGGACATGTAAGACAGCATAATGTGTACCCTCATTGCCAGAAGGACCACAACAGCTGCAGCTCCTAAGCCCACAGGGTATTGCTCTTTCCCCAGTTTTATACCCTCTCAGAGCCAGGCCTGCCTAAACCTGCAGCTCCGATGAAGGTCTGATCCCAGGCATGGAGAAGGCAGGAGGAGTCCGGGGTGAAGAGTTTTTCTCATCAGCTACCTAGAATATTAGGATCCAAGATTCCAGCCAGAGCCTTTTCTCCAGTGAGCTGGGGCGAAATGTGTACGTGTGTGTGCTTATGTAGACAGGCACTTACAGAGGAGTGGGACAGAGACACAGAACAAGAGGGACTGGATTGGAGTGCCAGCACCATCCCTCACTTCTCCAAGCCACAGTTTTGCCTAGCGAGAAGTGAGGAAGCAAGCTGCTGTAGAGCTTACGTGCAGATGGGCCAGGCGCTGCTCCTGACACATGTCTACAAGATGGCTTCTTCGATGGTGGTAGTGACAGAATCCTGTGCCTTGCAACCTTGAGTCACAAAGTGGCAAAAACTCAGTGAGGTGGTTAAGAAAAGTCTAAGCTTATAAAATCGTTATATTCGTTATGGGGTGCTGGGGGGCACTTAGCACAAAGGGGGTAAAAGTCGAAAGAAAAATTGCTGATCTGAGTGTTGCCCAGACCTGTGGACCGTGGCCCTCTTCTAGGCCCCAGCAGATGACCTTGTTAGAGCGCTCAGCTTTCTCAGTTTGCTTTCTTAGGGCAGTGATCCTTACATGAGACCTCTGATCTCTATGGGACCCCAAATTAACTGCTATGACCTCTCGGCGAGCCCACTGATCTTATTACCATCCAGGTTAGTGTCCTCGCTTAACCTCTGTGAGGGCTTTAAGTTGATGCCTTCCAGGTTTTTACTCAGAAACCACATGTATGACTCAAATGGATTCTCCTGTCTATGACCCCTGTTACCTTTGAGTGACCACTCAGTGAACTCACCAACCTGTACATGACCCTCTTTTCTTCCTTCATCATCTGCCCTGGATTCTAAGATCGCTGCCAAGAGCCCAGGGCCAGTTTCTTCAGCACTCTCCTCACTGTGTCAGCCACATTGTATCTCCTTATTGTATCAGGGGACAGGAATGGTTGGGACCTGGGGGCAGGCTTGACCAGAGAGACCTCTTGCCCACCCTGACTCTCAAGTTTTAGCCTTGGGGGATGTTAGGTGGGTGGCCTTTCAAGGAAGCATTGCAGTCCCTTTAAGCAACTTCCCTTGTACCACCCTGTCCCCTGGAACACTCAGGACATTCAGGCAGCTTCCTAGGTCAAAATTCTCTTACCTGCTCCCCAAGTTCACTCTTAGTGTCATTCTCCAGGCCCTCTTAGAGTCCTCAGTGGCAATGATACCCACTTCTCCAGTCTCCCTCATAACTGTGAGACCCATGAAGACAGCCTCTTTCACCACTGTCCCTGGCACACAGCAACAGCGTAGGGCCCATGGTTGATCCTCACTGAAGAGAATGAAGGCTATTAGTTAAGAGTTGGCCATCAGAAGTTCCCGCACCATAGGCAACTTCCCAGGACCTCCAGGAGAGGCAAACCACGAACTGCATTTTGTCAGGCCCTGGATTTGATTGGTCCTTATGGGCATGTTAGGGGCAATGGTTAGGGAATAAGAGCATAATGACCTATCAGAATGCAGGAAAAAAAATATTAGAACTTTGATTTAGATTTATTTTCATCTCATCTTTTTTTAAATTTCTATTTTTGTGTATGTTTTATAATGTACATAATATTTTAGTACAGTAGTACATGTATATAATTTACAAATAAAGAATTATACAATTAAGGAAGCGAACTAAAAAATGTCTTTACTGATGGGAGGCACAACTAGTGCCTGGGGAATCACGCGTGTCTGAGGTTAATGAACTTGCACCTCTGCTGTCATCCCTCACCCCATGACACAGAGAGTGAGACACTGGCCTGAAAATCAAAAGACCTTCAGGCAGCCGGACAAAGATCTCTTTACTAGTCCCTAAATCGCCTTTCTGATCTCATGCAAATGAGCATTTGCTTCCCCTGAGCAAAACAAAGGGGCCATATGGTTTGGTTATAAAACACACTTCAGCCAATCCAACTTAAATGGTTTGGATTTAAACCCACTATACTTTGCCACATTCTCCCAGCTCCCTGCATCAGGTGGGAGGGGCTCAGTTGCAAGGCTTGTGTCACCAAAGAGGTCAATCTGTTGGCCAAACAACAGGAAAGATTGGCTCGTGGTAGCTGTGTCAAGAGGACCAACCCCCCAACTCAATTGTTGTCTAAGTGATACAGGGTTTAATGTCAACCTGTAATAGACACTTGTCTCTACTCTCAGCTGTGTCCCTAACCTTAGCCTTTCTGACTCACTAGAAAAATGAAAGGATTATCAACAATTAAAATCTTGCCAGTCCACCTTCTCCCCAAGACCATGAACCAACAGCTTCCTTGATCCTACTCTACCACCCAGCCTGGGATCACTGGTGGGTGGCACTCGACAAGGCAGTGTGTCCTCCATTCCTGCCAGTAGGTCTGTGAGAGGCCAGCACAGAGCTCGGAGATCTTGGCAGCATTCACAGGAAGATCCCAAACAGAGGTTGTGCTCCTAAGCCATTTACCCCACAGGACACCCTTGGGACAGAAGAGGCCACACACACATATCCTATTTAGTCTGAAAGCATCAACCGGAAAAGTGATTGTGAGTCACAAATCTGGCGGAAGAGGAAAAGGCAAAAACACAGAGGGTCTTCATCTTTGTGTCCAGAGTGTCAGAGCAGCGGAGGGCTCCATAGCAGGTTTCCTTGCTAGTAGGCCAGACTCTAAGATGGATGTTTTCCTTTATCTGGTTTCATCCTCTAGATGGTAGTAGTTCCCAAACAGTCTTTAAATATATATATATTTTTTAATATATATATATTTTAAATATATATATATATTTGTGTTTGTATTAAAAGAAAAGAGGCAGGAGAGGCCTCAGCAGATAAAAGGAGAGGTGGACACACGCATGAGTGGAATCAGCTTGGCACTGAGTGGAGGTTAGGCCCCATGTTATTGCAATGTGAGGCAGGAGAACTGGGCCAGTTGCAAAGGTTGCTGGGAAAAGGGAAGGAGAAGGCGCTGCTGGTGGTCCATAGACTTGCTGCTGGTCAACTGAGAGGAAAGGGGAGAAAAGGGTGGATGTACAAGTTGAGACCCAGAGTTCAAATCCACCCTCACAAATACAAGCTGAGGAAGGAGCTTGATGAGAAGGGGGCCTGGGAAAGCAGCAGTGACAGACTTCTCCGGTTGGCAGCCCTAGAGCATGTCTGGCCTGCAAAGCAAGGCCCCATGACTTGAGGGCAGCAAGGGCTAGGAGAGGGTCTAGGCCAGAGATGGCCCAGGATGCAAGAAGATCAGCGCCATGAAGGGCATCTCCATCTCCTTGGCCACAGGGCTCTCCATACCCCTCTGGTTGCCTGTTAACTGCCTGGAGCTTGTTCCAAGCAGCCCCTGGCTGGAATTGTGCTCACTGACCCCTGTGGGGACATCTGCCTGCCTCCAGGGCCTGCACAGCCACACCAGCTAAGTATCAGATGAAGAGGCATCTTTGGTGGCTTTGCTGCCAGTCACAGGCCCATGGCCCAGGCTCAAGGCAGGGCTTGAGTGTGTTTTCCGGAGAGCTGGGTCATCCCCTTCTAGAGTAGCCAGCCGAGCCTCAATCCGCTCCAGGTCATCTGAGCCCACTTTGATTTTCACGGCCAGTAGGTGGATATAGGTCTCATAACGGATTTTCTAGGTAAAGGACAGGCAAAAGTCAAAAACATAGTCAAAAGAGATGCAACAAAATGGAGATGGGAGATCCAGCTTTAAAACACTAGTAACAATCCGCTGCTTCTATGGCATGCAGGGAGCTCTTGCAATTGATAAAAGGGAATAGACTACACAATTAAAAAAAATAGACAGGCATACACTTAAATCTCACCTATAATTTGTTTGAGATGGCATCATCCCTCTATGTAGCCCTGAAATTCACTGTGCAAACCAGACTGACCTTGAACTTACAGCAATCCTCCTGCTTCAACCTCGTGAGTACTGGGATTATAATCATTGCCTACCAAGCCCAGTTTCTCACTTAGAACTTGAAAATCCAAATAACGTCAATGAGTTCTTAGATACAAAGTGAAAGACATGGGTAATAAAAGCAAAAATGGGCAAATGGGACTACATTGATATTTAAAACATCTGTGCCTCGAAGGATAAAGACATTATATCTGGAGAGATGGGGCTGGAGAGATGGCTCAGTGGTTAAGAGCATTGTCTGTTCTTCCAAAGGACCTGGGTCCAATTACCAGCACCCACATGGCAGCTCACAACTGTCTATAACCTCAATTCCAAGGGATCTGACACCTTCACACTAATACACATAAAATAAAATTTAAAAAAAAGAAATTATATTTAAAGAGCACAAAGCTTTCATTTGGGGAGATAGAGAAGTCTGGAGATTGGTACAATAATGTGAAAAAATGCTTGCTGAGCTACATACTTAAAAGCAATCAAGACAGCACAATTTATTATGTGTTTAAAATGTTTAAAACTTGAAGGAATGTGGTCATGCGGAGAACCTGGGTTTGGTTCATAAACACTTGAGTTATTTATAAGTTGTTCTTAACACTTGCATGGGAGACACAGCAATGTCTAAGCACCTTGACTCTAAGATTCAGGCCTTCTTCAAGAACATAGGAACCCTTTTTCCCCAAGGTCTGCCTACCAGATTTCATGGCCTTCCCACCCACTCTGAGCCAAGTAAGGACGAGCACTCCAATGTCAGAGCTGCAGCCAATCACCTGGTTAGGATCCTGGGCCCTGCTCTTCCTAATTGTGTCACTTCAGGCCAGTGCTCTGACTTCTCTGAGCTTTGGTTTACCTTTCTAGGTATAGGGATGGTTATAGAAACCCTTTTACCATGTTGACATGAAGATGAACTCAGCCCATGCAAGGAAGCCAGGCCTCACCCCAAGCAAGTCCACTATAGCTTATGTCATCTACTTTCACACTGCAGTGTAGATGTGAAGGGCTCCTGGAGAGACCCAGGCATAGGCAAAACTCACCAACATTTGACAGACTGGGCAAGACTGACCACTGGACACTGGCTTACACCTGCCTCAGAGAGCCAACAACAGGAAGGTTTCAAACTGGAGTCCCTGACATGCTGATATTGATGGTAGGAAGGGGAGGGTGAGAGCTGGCCTCTTCTGGCTCCAGCTCTGACCTCTGCCATCCACCTCCTAAGACCTACCTCAAATGTGAGATAGTGTTCCTTCAGCCGGTATTCTTCTGCTTCCTTAGACTTGAGGCCTCTCTCCATTGGGTGGCACCTGTGCTCAGCCAGCTCTGCAGTCACCTGCTTCAGCTTATTCTCATGAGAACGCAGCTGTTCCTCCTGCAAAAGAGAAACCCAGGTCTGTGAGGTCTGACATTTGGGGTGTCACAGAGTTGGGCCTAACCCCATCACACTGGAAGCCGCTTTACCAAAATGAAACTGATGCTAACCAAGATCCTCAAATTCAAAGGGTCAGACGTAAGCTCAAGACATGAATGCTCCTTCCATCTTCCTCTTTCCTCCCCTTTCTCCCAGGGACATAAGCCCTCCTTGGTGACCAGCAGGCTCAGGAGCTAAGAGAGCTTTATATTTGCATGTGGGTATACACACGGCGAAGCAGACACCACTACCACAAACCCCCCCCCCTACAGAGTTCCACGTGTGCAGCAAAGCATGTTGGGTCAAGGGTCAACCTGACCCCAGTTATCCCTGGCTCTATACACCACATGCATTGTATCACAACCATTCTCAGACTTGCATGACATTTGCAGACCCGTATCACACCTAAAGGGAGAAGAGACTTTGTCACGGATAGCCTTGTGCACACACACACATGACAGTGAGGAGGCCCCTGTGAGCAGCCTGCACATGTGCATGTGCGGACACACCTGTGGTGCAGGCATACGGGTGTGCATGGTGTGTCTGTGTTGGTTTGTACACACACACACACACACACACACACACACACACACACACACACAGGAGCTCCACACAGACACTGAATGCCCTGAAACTCTGTGCAGAGACAAAAACCCTAGTAAAAAGGAGCCAACGGCTGAAGAATAAAGTTTGACGTTTGCCAGCCCTCTGTTCTCAAGCTCTGTTCCATTGTTCATCCTTTCCTGTCCAAAATACTCTGAAAAATCTGTAGTATTAGTGAGAAGGGATTTTCATAGAAATAAAACTAAAGTATTTAAAGATAAAAAGAAAAAAAAAGAAGAAGAAGAATGTTGTCTTGGACGGTTTTACATCAGTTTGACACAAGTCAGAGTCATCTGAGAGAAGGAATCCTCCTTAAGAAAATGCCTCCAGAGCTGGGTGGTGGTACGCCTTTGATCACAAGCATTTAGGCAGAGGCAGGTGAATCACTATGAGTCTGAGCCCAACCTGGTCTACAGAGTGAGTTCCAGGACAGCCAAGGCTACACAGAGAAACCCTGTCTCAAAAAGAAACCAAAAAAGAAAAAGAAAAGAAAAGAAAGAAAGGGAAGAAGGGAGGGGAAGGAGGAAAGGGAGGGGAGGGAGGGAGCAGGGGAGGTAGGTGGGTGGGGAGAAAGAAAATACCTTCATAAGATCAGGTTGTGGACAGGCCAGTGAGGCATTTTCTTAATTAGTGATTGACAGTATGGACACACAGTATGGACACACACATGGTGGGTGGTGCCATCCCTGGCCTGGTGGTCCTGGGTTCTCTAAGAAAGCAGGCTCAGCAAGCCAATAAGGAGTACTACTCCAGGCCTCGGCCCTGCATGAGCTCCTGCCCTCACTGCTTCTTATGATGAACTATTATGTGGAACTGTGAATAAAATAAACACTTATCTCCCCAACTTGCTTTTGGTCATGTGTTCATCACAGCAATAGTAACTCTAAGACAAGTTGGTACCAGGACCAGGATGTTGCTGTGATGGACCTGGCCATGTTTTGGGAAGGACTGTGGAAGGACTTTGGAACGTTGTGCAAGAAAAGCCACTGGATGTTTAATGTTGGGTGAGCTGTTCTGTAGGAGCTTGGAAGATAGGAATGTTGAGGGCAGTGCAGAAGATGGAGGCCCGGCTAGCGAAGTTTCAGAGGGAAGTTTAAAGACTCTTTGGGGACCATTTGTTATTTTGAATTAAGATTCTGTGGTTCTGGTTAGATGGTGCTGAAGAATCAGTTGCAATTAAGAAGATACCAGAACTACTAAAGTGAAAATTTCATTTTGCTGGAAAACTTGATGCTGGTTGGCTGGACCTGAGAAATTAGCAGTAATTAAGAAGAGAAAAGCACCACTGAGGTGAAATCTTCTGGGAACTGTTTCATAGAGCACACGGTTCCAGAGGTGGCCAAGAGTGTACCGTACGCTTGTAGCCGACATGGTAGTGTAAGAGTAAAACTTGGTCCTGGTTTTGAAGGAATGAAGGGGTCATGGAGAGCATCTGAGGCTTGGCACTGTGAGGGAGGCCATTGGTGAAGGTGCAGCCTCAGCAGCAATAAAAGCCCCAGTATTGAAAGGGTCATGAAGAAAAGTTGAGGCTTTGCACCATGAAAAGAGCCCAGGAGAGGCTATTAGTAAAAATGCAGCCCGGTTACAGAAGCCGCCAGCGTTTTGGAGAGGCCGGCACTATGGGACAACCACCAAAAACAGCAGGAGTGATAGGATGGAGCCAGCAAGAGCCTAGAAGACAAGGCGTGTGTGCTGTAGAGGGTGGGGCCAAAGAAGTGACCCAAGGCCCTCACAGGAGCCCAGGAGGTCCTGCATGAATCCCACACATTGGGTGTTGAGTTATTTTCACTTTTGGAGTTTGGTTTTGTTTTGATTTGACTGTCACTGTGCCCTGGCTCTTCTCTCTTGAAGTAAGCAAGCATTTAATTTATTTCTTATTTTGCAGGACTCCACAGTTGACAGACTTTAAATTTTAAAAGAGATTGGCTATTTTTAAAAAGACTCAACTTTTAGCTGGACATGGTGGCACACACCTTTAATCCCAGTACTCAAGGATGTAGAGGCAGGCAGATCGCTGTGAGTTCAAGGCCAGCCTGGTCTATAAAGTGAGTCCAGGACAGCCAAGACTACACAGAAAAACCTGTCTCATAAAACAAGAAAGAAGAAAGAAAGAAAGAAAGAAAGAAAGAAAGAAAGAAAGAA